TCTAGAGCCTGTACAAACAATATCAAAGTCTGCAATGATGTTTCCCTCCGAAAGGGAGGAGGTACCGGTTGCTTGTGAGGCCAAGCGGTCTGGAAGTCACTGCCCAAGAGGCAAGTAGGTCACTATATCTTTGGCCTGAGCCAAGAGCTCAGACTCGTTCTCGGTGTGCAAGTTTGGCGACACACTGCTTGGAGCACCGTCTGGAGCAGCGCTAGCAAGGAGCAGTGCTGCTGGGGAGGAGCAAGGACAGGAGGAGAAAGAAGAGCAGGACTACGAGGGAGGAGTGCCAAAGGTACTTACCTGGCTACGATGGTTGCCATCTTCTTCACCTTGGTGGACGCTGCAGCAAGAAGACCCCCGTTGGGGTAGGGCTACACCAAGACTCTTCGAGGCAGAGTCAGGCATGGAAGCCTGAGCTAGAGCACCCATAGCTGCTTTGGGTTGTCCTTTGGACATCAGGACGAGGCCCTAGTAGTCCGCCATAGCCTCGGCCTTGGACGAAGGAGGAGTAAGGGTGGCCATGGCTATGGTGGACCTCATGTGATACCTGCGGTAGAAGAGGAATTCGGACATTGATTCTGGTTCAGCCATTCAACATTATTATTGTTATTTATTGTGTGAATAAGAGAGGAAAAGATAAGGAGGAGGAGAGTGGTTGGCGAAGAAGAGAGCATTATCATTGGTCTGTGCTGGTGTGCATCATCTTCTTCTTCTTTCTTTCTTCTTCTTCTTCTTACCCTCTCTCTCCTCTCAAGTTCATTCATTTCTTTTCGCAATTGGACGGCATTGTACTTTCTTATGCATGCATACTTCAAAATTGGCCAGGATCATAACAATATAATAGAAAATGCAAGGTTGGCCACGTTTGTGTCGTTCAGCGCCAACTGCCCACACACCAATCTGCCGCCAAAGCGACACACTTGCACATATACATCTAAGGGGATGGAGGGCAGAAGGCAGCTTACCTAAGACGGAGGACTACTCCAGCAGGAAGGCACAGACCCTACCCCCTCAAAGGTCCGAAAAAACTTGGAGAGCCTTCCGCATCGGCCCACAAAACCAAAAACTCATTTACCAAAAACAAACAAATATAACAGCATTGGCATTCCGGACATTCATCTCAAACTACACATGCATCTGTGTGTGTGTGTGTGTGTGTGTGTGTGTGTGTGTGTGTGAGAGAGAGAGAGAGAGAGAGAGAGAGAGAGAGGCAGGTAGGTGGACGAACAAACAAATTGGTGTGTGGATGGATGGATGGAAGGAGAGACAAACGGATAGACAGACACTTTGAAGCTCCTAAGTAAGTTGTCGTGGTGCAGCATATGGGAATTACGCCATGGAGTGGATGAGCTCAAGAGTGAGCGAATGGTTGGTGAGCAAGCAAATGATGAGTGTTCAAGTGTATGTGTTGTGTAACCAATCATCAAACACCATCCCCGGGATTAGTATCTCTGCCTGGAGCTACGCCACGGTGGCCTGTAAGGTAGCCACTCGCTGGGTGCGCACGGTCAGAGGTGGAGGAGGCAGAGAGGGTAACGAGTTGTAGGGAACCCTAAGGTGGAAGTGAGGAGATGAGGGGAGGAGGGAGGGCTCTAAGCCGTAGTCCTGCAACCGAAGCGAGAAGCTGGTAAGCAACACCGGGATGAGTGGATGAAACTGCGCGGCCAGATACCGGTATCATGGCAGCAACACCTACTGTAGTGGCCGAAGCAGTTGGGGCGACAGGGGCCGACGAGTGTGCCGCAACAGATGGTATGGTCCGAGCGGCAACGACACTCACCACTGCGGAGGAAAAGTGTTGGGCCTGACCCGCAAGGGAGGACGAACCATCACGTCTCCGTGTCTGGAGTCGTGGGGAGTCGGACTTTGAGCCGCTAGGGGATGGAGTGTGAGAGCGGTGGGGAGAGTGATGAAGAGAACCCTTGATGCGATGGACTTCAAGGGCGCATTGACTTGCGCCTCCAGGAATGCAAGTGCATCGAGTCGCGCTTGCAAAGGTGCAAGGAGGGACGCAAAAACAGCACGAAGGTTCATGGGGTCCATGGGGGTCTGGCCTTGCATCAGGTGGGTGGGCGTCTAAGAGGTGGAGGGCGCCGTGACGATCTCCTCGAGTGTAGTCTCGTTCGTGGGTGGTGGACCTATGGGGGTCGACATGGTGGGCGGTGGACAAAGCGGTGGGAAAAGAGATGTGCTGGTGTATGGAGAAAAACGTCCACTAGTGAGAGGGAGGGGACTGCGGGAGCGGAGTGGGTAGGTGAGTAGGCACGCTCCGTGACCAGCGGGTCGCACATGAGAGGGTGGTGCGAAGCCGGTCGAGGGGAGAGGATCCGTTCGGGGCCAGGGTGCCTGACAGGAGGAGATGGGAGAGGAGGGAGGTAAGGAGGCCCTTAAGCCCTAGAAAAACCCGAAGAAAACCCTAACCGAAGTTTGGGGGGTTCGGGTGGAGTAACGGCGACCTAATCAAGAAAAGAAAACAACAACCATGGAGGGGAGGGAAAAAAGTATAATAAGTAAATAGTGAAATTTCGAGATAAAAATAAAATAAAAGAAATAATATAAAAATAGATAAATAAATAAAATATAAAGAGTGGGGAGAAAGATAATATTTATTTTTTGGGAATTTTTGACAGCATTTCCCCATCCCACATGGGGTCAAAATTGCACCAAGAGGAAGAAAAGAACAAGAGGAGCACACTAACTTTCAAAATACCGCAAATTAAAGTTTTCAAAAATAAATACATAAATAAATGAGGAGGTGGAGGAGAGTGAAGAGAAACTAAGTGTTGGATTTTTCAAAAACTTCGGCAGCATGTCGTTAACCCCATGGGGTCGAAGTCTACCGTCAAAAAGATATGACTAAGTAAAATGGAAGAAAGTAGGGAGAAACTCAAAAAAGAGAAAATTTCAGGCAACACTGTTACCCCTAAGGGGTCAAAATGTGCATCGATAGCTGAAATAGCTACGTCCTAAACAGATATAGAGGTGCCACAAAAAAAAAATCAAAATTTCAAAATAACTAAAATAAAATTTAAAATAAATCAATAAATGAGAAAAGAAGTAGGGGAGAAGATAATTTGAACTATTGGAGAAGAGGACGACAAAAAGAAGAAGAACAGAAGAATTCGAAGTTTGGGGGGGGAGGGGGATGAAAAAAAGTGATGAAGAAAGAGAGAAATAGGTGAGAAAGAGAAAAAGAGTGAAGTGGGAGATGGGGGGGATGACGAGGTTGTAGTTGGGGGAGGGAAGGGGGAGAGGAGGGGGAGAGAATGGGTGATAAAGAGATGTGAAAGGTTGAGAGGAGTAGAAGAGATTATAAGAAGATGATGAGTGGGGAGGGGAGGGGAGAAAAAGATGGTGGAAGATAAGTGAAGGGGGAGGTAGGAGGGGGGAGTATTGGTAGAGTCAGAAAAGGTGATGAGCTGGTGTAGGGGAGAGAGAGAGCAGGGGTGGGAGAGTAGGTTGGTGAAGAGAGATGATACCACGCTCTTGGTTAGCCAAGAGCAACAAAATCACCAAGATCCACAAGATCCACAAGATCTTGGCCTTCAAGGTGCTGGCAGCCTGCTGCTGCAGCAGAAAATAATAATAATAAAATAATCAAGGGTTGGTTGAGATCTTGATCAGCACCCTGATTGCACTAACGTGCAGCCCCCTAGCCAGCGGGGTCTTCACTTCTGCCAGACTGCCGCTGCAGCAGTAGAAAAAGTATTCATCATCATCATCATTATCTGGGTGTACTGAGATCTTGATCAGTCACCCAGGTCTCACTGTAGTGCAGCCCCCTAGCCAGGGGGGTCTTCAGAGTCTTCAGCACCCTCCCATGTGGCACTGCAGATGGCCCCGTGAGCGGGCAGCAGCAGCCACGACATGCCCGCTGAGGGTGGGGAGGGGGGTGGAGGGGGGTAAATAGCCGCCGTGGCACTTCGTCAACGCCAGTGCGCCACACAGGTACCACTGTCGGTACCAGTCCAGTCCAGTCCAGCAGTAAATAGCCGCCGTGGCACTTCGTCAACGGCAGCAGTAAATAGCCGCCGTGGCACTTCGTCAACGCCACTGGACTGGACTGGACTGGACTGACTGGACTGGAC